GGGGGGGGGAGAGGAGGAGGGGGGGTGTTAGCAACCCTGATCCCTCCCTCCAGGTTGTAAGGCGTCAGAATTCTTGGGAAACTTCTTGTTTTTGATCGACCCTGGGCAAGAGGTGTGCATACTCACACAGGAGCCTCACGCCCCTGTAAGTTGACCATACAAGATGCTAATTTTGTAAGAAAATGGCTTAAACCATTTCACTTGCCATTAAAACAAACATACAGAAGTTTAGGAAATTGTTCCTTAACCGTTTCCTTGAGTTCTCGCACCTGGACGGAGTTTCTGCCTGACGGGCTGGCACTCCACCCCAAACACAGTGGAGGCACTTCTCACTCTTGGAGGAGGGCTGGCCCTGGGCTTTCCTAGGGGTTTGAGATACAACCTGAGGACAACTTGGCCCAAATAAGGCGACCTCATGGTGCAGCTCATTGGCCAGCTACTGCACAACTTTAGGCACAGGATATCTACCTGCTTAACTGCAGGTAGAAAGTCACAAAATAAATTCACAAATATTTTTTCAGCCCATCAAATTACAGCTCAGTTTTGCAGAAAGGTAAAGATCTCGTTGACATCAAGTTCTCATGAGTTCTCATTTTCATGAAAACTGGAAGATTGCTACCCACATCAAAGGAGAGGCAGTTAAAACTCAGCCCATTTTGAGAAGCAGCAGCCAGTGAGTCAGTCAGTGTGCAGCTGCCTACGCACCGATCACAGCACTTCTGTAGGTGACCAAGTTACACTGGTTTTATTTTCAAAAAAAAAATCTATATTTTTAATTATTTGTTTACTACAAGCATCTTTAGAAAAAATACTAAAGTTAATTTTAAACACCATGCTTCATGTAGTATACGTCCTTAAAAACAATAGCTTTACAATTACAATAATTTAATGTTGCTAAAAAATTGTTTTCCAGAAAGTTAGTTGTTAGTGTAACCCATGTCTTCTCTGCTTCTATTTTAACCTCATTCGTGTATTTGTTCAAGTACTTGGAAATTATTTATTTCTTCATACACTGGAGGTAATAAGTGTTTGAAGACTTTCATATTTCAAAAGAACCACACATTTTTAACTGTGGATATTAAAATGCTAAAATTTTCTTTCTCTCTTTCCTGAAGGACTTGGAAAAGAAAAACCAAAAACAAAAGGAAACCTCAAATGCATAATAAGCATGCCTCAGTATGAAGTTATCCTCCTATAAAAAAGAAATGCTTTTGAAAACATTTTAATGGGGCAATATTTTTTTTAAGTTTTGTTACAACTAAAGAAAAAGATATGACTTTTTAGGAAAGCTTCAGTTCTGTGCATGTTCTAGAATGGGATAAATTACAACCTTCTATCACCATGCAGCAGCAGTGCATCTCGTATATGCTGATAGTGCATGCGGAGGGTTGTTGGGAAAGCATACGTTAGTCTTTGGAACGACAATTTTCATTCCCTCTACCCAGGATATTAAATAAGCAAAGTGATCTTTTCACTGAGGAGCAAAGCAAAAAACCATTTTTTGTCTGGACTTGCCCTTCAGTTTTCCTATTCCAATTCTCTACTTTCAGTCAAAGACATCTTTTTTTCCTCAGACAGTGAATGGTTCATTTTTAAGAGTTTGCTTCCGATTTGTACTAACCTTATAAGAACGCTCAGTGCACCCAAGGGAGTAACTAAGGTTGCAGGCGCAAAGGCATAGGCAGCAAAGTTTGCAACTTCTCCTAATCCCACTGTAGGAGAAAAAACATTTGGAAGGAGGTTGGGTTGGGGGCGGGAAGGGGGAGGTAGAAGGAATACTGTTATAAGTATTTTGTATGATAGATAAGACAGCAACAATAAAACAGGTATGATAGCAAACATAAAACAGAATCTTCTTTCTACACTAAATATGCACACTTTACTTTCAAAAGTATCTGCATAACCCCTTCTGGATATAATAAAACTAAAGACAGAAGAAAGTTAAATACTTTTCCCCGTAGTATGGTATATTACAGTGTAGCTACAACGACAGCGCCAAAGACAATTGGCACTTGTTCACGGAACAGCTCTGCAACGGCAACACCTTCACGGACGCAACGGCGAGAGCGCCCAGCAGCAGGACAGGGCCTCAGCTCCACTGCTTTTGACTGGATATTAAAGAAAAGGTTGTTATTCTACAGAGAGCTGCAAAGAGTAAACAATTCCCCTTTATATTTGTATATAAAGGTAATTGCAGAGAAATTTCTTTTAGGCGAGAGGAATGAAAAAATAGGGAATGAAACTATTTAAAAAAAAAAACACAACAGTGTTTTAGGTAGTATTTACATATAGCATGAAAGTCAAGGAGTGACTTACTTGACAGTAATCCAGCCCACCAAAGCCATTCCTTCAAATAAGAATATCCACCCTGTCCTGAAAGGGGAAAGTAAAACCTCATCTTAGAAGAGAAAGATCACTTTATTATAATAATATTACAGCTTCACATTCTCATCAAATCATATAAAGTACTGAAATAGCTTATTACCTAGATGTGACATGAAAAATATTTTCCTTGGTTTTGACTGATATTTTTAGTAACCTCTCTACTTGCTTTGTGACTTGTACTTCTGGAACACATTTGACTAAATGCACATGGAGGAAAAGTTCTAAGCAAAAGCAAAATGTCAGCGAAGATAGCTGATGAGCTTAGAAAATACGCTGAAATGTTTTCCCAGATCAAAACCAATATATTCATATAAAGCCGCATTTGAACTCTGCTTATAATTTAAATTAAAAGAAAAAATATCCTACTTTGCCCATGGGTTTTTCTGACATAAAGTGCAAGTAAATTGTACATTCAGTATCTTTTTTTTTCCTCCAAATATCCAAATTATCTGGAACAGCACATTTTGCAATAAATAAAACACAATGAAAAACTGCTAATGCGATATATTTAAATATCGTACAAAGGGAAGTATGACATTAGTCTAAGGGAATTTTTAAAAGCTCTCCACATTTTTCTAGCTCTGCATCTATCAACTCTGATGGAGGAATAGTTGGACTAACTGTGGAAACTTTAAAGTATTTTTCGCATAGCTCATTGCACTTTTTGTTTTTAAAGAAAGAACTAAACTAGTTACTGTCTCGAGCTTTTCCATCTCAAATTAAGTGGGGAAAAAAAGGGGGGTGGAAGAAAAGAGAAAGGTTTTTTGAAGGTTGAGACAAAGGGAGAACTTTATTTGGAATCTAACTACTGCCAGGGAGGAAATACTACTAACTTACTATATTTAATATCCATTGCTGCCCATCTATCCCTAAGAATTCAGAAAACTCAGTCCCTGTAGCCACGTGCAGAGAAATAATATTATATTTCTACCTGCGGGCAGCGTGAGCCAGGAAACACGGCTTACCCGCTCGGGTGGCTCCTCTGGTGGCCAGTCTCAACAGGCCCTTCTTCTTCAGGATGAAGCTGGCACCGATGAAGATACTGGAACCTATTGCCAAAGCCAAGCCGACGTAGAGCCGGCATCTGCTGCCAGCAGGTGTGGAAACGCCCCGGCTTGTTTCATTGAAGGTCTTGTCCATGGAAGCGAGGAAAAAGGAGCGGGATGTGGATATATTGACGATCTGGCACCATGCTTGGCGAGAGTCGTGGCAAGCCAAAGGGAGCACAGCACCTGGGAGGAGAAAAGAGGAAGGGAAGGGACATGTGACGCATGAACCAGGCGCAGCTCCAAAGGAGTCCCGTCCTAGCTCCGCGCACTCCTTTCCCGAGCACGCTGCCATTTCAGACAGCGCAAATAACCCTTAAAGTGCCAACACAAGATCCACGTAACAGATACAGTCCTGGTCAGTCCCCAGGTGATTGCCCATGCCTGCAAGTCACAGGGGCATGCCTTACTTGATACATTTTTTTGCACTATGTTGGCTCAGTCAAGCCATTGGGGCAATACTAAGAAATGGAACAAAAATATAACATTTTCAGGGTAAAATTCCACACGAAATCTTAAAAGGTAGCCTGAAAGTTCAAAAAGAAAGTGTTCTTTGCTGTTGTGCAAAGACCACATCCCTAAAAGGCAAATATACACCCATGTGTGTACAGAATAAACCTCCTTTTACTCCAGGCTTCTGTTTGACATTTGTAACTGAGATTTGAGAATGACAGATAAAGAAGAAAAACAAAAGCTATACAGCTAGCAAACTGTTGCTGCATATGAGCACTAATACTTTTCAGTAAAAGAGTTTAGCATCACCATGTAGGGCAGATCTGCTCTAACCAGAAGTGAAATTGTTAGGTGGAGGCCTCATCACAACTCACAAAAGCTTTCATCTTACCTCAGTGACCTATAAACGGAGGAGGACCCAGCCCGCTAGGCACTATCCTCCTGGCTATCCCTGCCAGGAGGCAGAGAGACCGCAATGCTGCAACAGGGCTTCCAACAGTCAATGCAGGAAGTTGCACAGTTTCTCAAGCCAGACTGGCAGCACTCAAGCAGCGCGGAGGGCAGAATCTACGCTGGAGCAGCTTTCAAGAACAGCCTTTTTGGAGAGAAAGGACTTACCGCTAAGATGCATTAAAATATGAAAGAGCTGACGCAGAATTACGAAAGCACTGTCCCTAGTGATTCATATAAAGGACTCAATGCAACACAATTTTGTTTTCCATGTTTCCCCTATAATTAAAATGACACACGAAGGATTCATCCTGCATCACCTATGTTGCATCACCTGTAATATACTGACTTCTTCCGCCCCCACCCCCCAATTGAAGAAAACCATGTAGCTACTGGGTAGAAAAGAATGTGCCTTTGAGCCTGTTCATATCTAAGTTATGGAAATATTAATGTTCTGTCAGAAGTACTACATGGGTAACAATAAACAGCATTAGGGGAATCTAAGGTTGCTTAGGAAGGAATATTTGAAAATATAGAAAAGTACTAAAAACGGTTTGAACTTTGACAGCATACGTTCACTTGCAGCTGACAAAGCAGATGTTAACACCGGCAGATGCCTTCACTCACAAAGAAATAACTAAGGAATAGTTAGTCTCAATTCTCCTGTCCACATACGGTACAACAAATACACTACGGTTAGTTATCATTTTATTTTCTAGTTGTGCAATCACATTTCCTTGTTTACCAAGAGAGTTTCAGTTTAACAGGGCTTGTTTTGTATTGCTAAGCCTGACTCTGTAAAAAAGGGTCCTGCAAGATGGGTATCTCTACATCTGGTAGCTGAAAATTATAATCTTAAAGCACTACAACTGCATGAAATTACTTTTGCATAGTATATAGGATAGTATTTTGCCATCTTACCACTTCTAGAAGCTGCAACTGGATAACGTAAAAGTAAAAAGATTCACATTTATCACTGAAAGCATTTTAAAATGCTGAAGAATTTCCACAATGTTAGAAAAAGAAAATTATGCATATACTTAAGTTATTAAAGGTTAATTTGCAAAAGAAATTTAAGGAGAAATCATTTAAACATAAATGTCTCTTTCAGCTAACACGCATCAGGGCAAGGCAAAACAGGGAGGTTGCCACTGAATGAAATCCCTTAGCTCTCACTATCCAGTTTGGTATTTGGATGCAGAGTATAAGCATGGTTCAACTGCTTCCTCTGTAAAAAAGATAGTGCTGGCTTTTCAGAAAGTCTCAGGCCATCATACTGGGAAGTTAAGTCTATATTGGATAAGAGAAATCTGTGAACTGAGACATTCAATAAAGCACCCTCATACATGCTGGCGAGAGTCCTCCCTGATCAGTAACTCTGAAATTCTGCACTCAGACACCCTCCTTCTTCCACTCTTGCTTTGAAGTTCATCAGCAGACTTGTCCCCAGTTTGTCCCCTCACATTTCCCTCCTATTCTTCGGCTTCAGCAAGCCCTGCTGCTGCTCCAGGCCCTCCTTTTATGTTCCCCCGCACCATTTCCTTTTTTTTTTTTTTTTTTGAAGCTTCACATACAGAATTATACAATCTATTTTGTCACAGAGTCAACTGAATACATGTGAAGAGAGGCAGTCAACTGCTCTGCAATAAGTACTTGTAAAAGAACTTACATAATAAAAAAATCAAGAAAATCTTACGTATATGTGAAGGACACATGAAGGACAGTAGCAGTACGTCTGTTTTCAACTATACAATTTTAGGTACGCTAAGAGAGCTAGTATGGGAGCACTATTTAGGTATTAGAAACAGAAGTTTTACCTCCAGTTTGAATTTCTTCAATATAAGAGAAAAAACTAATGAAGGATTATGTTTGCCAGATTTTGCCAGATAGGTTTTTCCAGACAGATGTTCACAGGTGTGCTGCTCCTTACAAGCAGAGCAAACCCAGCATAACCTGACAGGCTGCATGCCCACCGCACGTGAACGGATCCCTCTGCAGTGTGCGCGCCATGCGCACATTCAACATTTCCTAAGCGTCGTGCAGTATGGTCAGAGTTACCTCTGCTGCATGTCCAGAAATCCTAAACAAGCGTTGGAATTTGTCAGCATCCACCTGGTAAAAAAGACCATATCCAAGAAAATCGGGATATATGGCTAGCAGGTCTAAGCCGTTCTCCATGGATTCTGCAAAAGCCCCTCCAAGAAAGGAGGGCTGCCACAAAGGAGGCAGTATTTTAACAACCTGCAGTGTAATACAGCCTTAGTTATGTTGCTCAGGGGTAGCTTGAGCAAAAGAAAAGCTGAAAAAAAAAATCAGCTAGCATTAAAAAGAGAGAATGAGGGAGAGAAAGAGAGAAAAGGAACTAACCATCCTGTGTATCGCTTAACTTTGTATAGTGGTGCTAAGCAGGGCTGGCAAAGACCGCAACATCGCTCAGTGACTGCAAGCTTTATCTGAGAGGCAGCGACAGTTCTCTCTCATTAGAGTAAATCAAGACCCAGACTCTTGACAAGGACAGTCTTTCAGCCACTTGCGATTGAAAAGGCAGCTTGCTAACAGACCAGCGCGCTGGAAGCAACGTTCTTCTCAGCCTTTGTTGCGAATGGTAACGCTTCATGTAGCTGTAGATGAATGGCAGGCTTATTCCCTTCCACATAATGACAGGACTACTAGTTTTTCAACTGATTCTTGAGTTAAGCCACCAAACACAGCACAGTAGGATGGCACGCGACTAGAAGCGTTTCTCCTAGTGACTGCCACAGGGTAAGCTCCTGTCCTTTCTGCAACGCAAGCTTCGCTCACCTACATTTACAAAGGGACACTGGATTTTTGGTATGTTCTGCCTGCCAGCTGCCAAGAGTCCTTTTGAATAGCTGTGACCTTGATTGTTATGTTCAAGAGATTATCTAGTTTAAAAAAAAAAAGTATAATTTGTTCCTCTTGCATATAAAGAAACGTCACTCCATATAGCAAAGGAGCTGGGAAAAAGAGGCTGATAGAGGAATTACTATTACTTTAACACCCATTGCTAATAGTCTCAAGATCACGGCTGGAAGGACTGAGGAAGGTGATGAACATGAGAGGAAGCTAGGCTTGCGTAGCATGCAGTTTCTGCAGTTAAGCTAGTTTCACCTCCCCAGCTGGCAACGTCAACAAGTAGAAATGCAAAGCCGTCACCAGAACCCCTCCTTATGGAAGCAGCCGCCTCGAGCTCTGACTCAGGGCCGAGAGCAGCACCCACCGCGCCGAGCTAACGCTGCCACGGGTGAACTTCGCAAGCAGTTTTATGATTAAGCCAGCTCTGAGAAGGTTTTCTCAAACACCTAAATATTACCTGCTAACAAGGGTTGCAGACCATGAAGCAGCTCATCCAGCCCTCTGCTCTGTGCTCTTTAGAGCAAATTTCATGCTCTGCGGTGTTGCAAGAGCCTGGGACCAACACGTCCTGCAGCTCGTCAGCAAGAGCCTCCTAGCTGTTCAGCCGGACACTGAGCATGTCAACCCCAAGTCGTCTGGAAAACCGTTTGCTATCGACAACAGGCATCGGTTTTGACCGTTTTTATTGCCCTCACGAGCCAGCTCACACCCGGCAGGCACCGTGCCTATGTGAGAAAGCCTGTCTCGCTCGCCAGTCAGATACAAACTCACTTTTGTCACGCAAAGCCTGCCAGGGGTGAAAGTGTAAAAAGCAGGCGATCACTCCCGGGCACACCAACCCTTACAAAAACTTAAAGAAAAAATCCTGAAAAAGAGAGCTTTACCAAGCAACCCCGTGCCTGAAGGGTTAACACTTCATTCCCCCCCCCCAGACGGCAGGTTCCCCCCGCACCACGGCGCGGAGCCCCGCCA